CCTCCCCCACCCCTGCCCCCACCCCTGCCTTGGCCCCATCTCCCTTCTAGTAGCTTTCCACCCAATCCTCCTGTGCCCCCCTCCTCACACCCCCAGTTCCTGCTTTCTTGCTGGGTCTGGCTGACCCAAGATCACTCTCCTTTGCCTTTCACAATGGATAGCTGCAGCCTCTGGCACAGGCCCCATTCTCAGCTAAGCAGTGTTGTTCAATGGCTCCCCCGGAGGAGCCCCTGAGACGAAAGAAACTTTTTGTCTCCGGAGAGTTTGAGGGTATCTGCTTAAGGTAGACTCCAATCCCCTCAGGTAAACACTACTATTTTCAGAGATGGGGTGGGAAGAGAGCAATGGAAGGCTGAAAGGAAGGGCATGGGATGGCTGAGGAAAGACAGCCAGTTTGAACAGGTTTGACTTCCAGGCAGGATGAAGTTTGTTCCAAGGGTGTGGTGCAGGGGAACCTCTGGAGCAATGGTCCTCAGAGTATGGGATGCTGTGATTAAAAATTATAGGTGTGCTGGTTCACAAACAGCAGGAAACCATTGCCTAATGTTCTAGAGGCTGGGGAGGTGAGCAGAGCGCTGCCATGATCATGTTCTCACGAGGAATCTCTCTTCTTGTCCTCTCTCCTGTGGTCACATGATGGAAGACCAGGGCGTGCTCTAGTGCCCTCGTGTATAAGGGGAGCTGACCCCATTCATGAGGGCTACACCTGTGACTCCATCACCTCCTTGGCCCGTCTAATCCTGTTGTCACCCAGGTTTTGGTATCGTCATGTGAATCTGGGAGATTCAGTCTATTGCAGGGACACATGCTGTCCTGAACACAGAGAAGCAAGCTTTCCCCAGGGCAAATGCCTCAGCCATACAGGACTTTGGCAGCCTTCCTGGAAGCTAGGAGGGCTCTGCCCATTCTCAACTGTGTGGCCTTGGACAGGCAGCCCATACCTCAGAGCCTCAGTGTACCCATTGGTTAGGTGGAGATGGTTACAGACACCTCAGTTGCTTTGAGGACCAATGAGCCACCATATATTGATGAATATCTGACTCGAAGTAGACCTTCCTATCAGGCACATAGTAGGAGTTAATAGTACTTTTTTCATCCTTCCTCAGTATCACTGCCCTGACTTACCTACCCTTAGTGTCTACCATCCCAGGCACTGTAGGTCCAAAGGTGGCATTTGGGCTGTGAGATCATACTGGCCACAGGGGCATTATTACATACCCTATCATAGAAAATTAGCCTGCTTTCTGCCTTCTCCCCTCTCCTCCCCTCTCTTCCCTCCATTCCCTCCTTTTCCCCTCCCCTCCTTCTTCCTTCCCTTCCCTTCCTTTTCCTTCCCCTTCCTTCCTGCTTTTCTTCTATTATTTCTGGCGCTGGGGCTCCCGGGGCTCAAATCCAGGGCCTCAAATGCTAGACAAATGCCTTATCACTAAGCTACACAAAGGCTTCTCTTGCATGACCTCTTCCTTCACCATCCACCCTTCATCCCTAGTGCAGCTTCCCTGTCACCAACAGCCCGCATTTGCATTAGAACATGCCTTCTGATGCCCACTCTGCCAATCCTGGATGTATTTTCCTGGCTTGAGCCTGGGACTGTAGCCAGCCAGTCGCCCTGGAGTCCCTTGAATGAGCAATCACACCAGCTGACTAGGCAGTATGCAGATCTGGCTTCTGGGAGAGCAGAATGATGTCACCACCCTGGGCTGTGGGTAGTTCCAGCTCCATGCATTGGTAAGGAGGAGTTACAGGGCAGGAACAGGGTTTCTGAAGCCAGTACCAAGGTTCCCTGTAGTGTGATGTCCCCAGCAGCAGGCAGGCCGCAGGGGTAGGTGTGGAGTGGAACAATTGCAGGGAAGGCCAGTGATGTTGGTTGGGGAGGGGGAGGGGAAACCTCAGCCAGACTCCTCTCTCTTTTCCCTAGCTGGGCTGCTGGAGCAGATCTTTGCTGCCACCTATGACCATCTGCTTGTTTTGAGAGATTGTGCAAGACCCTCCCTTTTCAAAACACAAATGGCCAGCTCCTGCCAGTCAGTTTTCCCTGCCAGCTTGGCCTCCTGGAAATGCTGCCTGTCCTGGCCATCTCTGGGTCTCTTGGTCCTTCTCAATGTTACTTGGCTTCTGGTTGTGTCCACACACCCTTTCTGTGACACTGCCCATACCTAGCTAGGCTTCTTGCTAATTCCACAGTCTGTCTCAAGCCTTATCTTGCCAGAGTGCCAGGGTCACTCATAGCTGGCTGGCCATGCCTGCTTTTGGCCCCTCTAACTCTGGATGTTCTCAGGCTCCTTTGAGACTCTTTGTTCTCCTCCCACTGTAAGGATGCAGACTCCAGGGTCCTGCTCTGCAGTATTCTGTGAATGGCATTTGTTCTGTTGCTTCAACTGGACCTCATCATACTTTTTTCTTTTAAAATAATTTTTAAATAATTAATTGGGTGTGTGGGTCGGGTAGAGGTGCATGGGTGTGTGCCACCTGTGTCTGTGGAAGTTAGAGGACAACTTTTGACTGTTGAGTCTCTCCTGCCACGGGGCTCTTAAGGATAGATCTCAGGTTATTAGACTTGGGGCAAGCCTTTATCTGCTACGCCATCCGGAAGGCCTCAACTGCATTTCTTATGGACCAAATCCCAAATCCAGTCAGTCCTGTAGCAGACTTTTTCTTTTGGGTCAACAACCAGCTCCCAAATCATGACACAGAGACTTTTTTTTTTTTTTTTAAGATTTAAAGAGGGCACCAGATCTCAGCCTAGCTTAGGTGCATTTCTAGCTAGCTCTTTTTTGTTTGTTTGTTTGTTTGTTTGTTTGTTTTTGTTTTTCGAGACAGGGTTTCTCTGTGTAGCTTTGGAGCCTATCCTGGCACTCGCTCTGGAGACCAGGCTGGCCTCGAACTCACAGAGATCTGCCTGCCTCTGCCTCCCGAGTGCTGGGATTAAAGGCATGCACCACCAACGCCTGGTTCTAGCTAGCTCTTTTAACTTAACCTGTTTCTCTTTATATAGGTTTTGTTCCAGGGCTTTTTACCTTCCTTCCTTCCTTTCTTTCTTTCTTTCTTTCTTTCTTTCTTTCTTTCTTTCTTTCTTTCTTTCTGTGTATCTTACCTTCCTGCTGTTTCTATGTCTGGCTGGCTTCGGGCCCTGGGCATCTCCCTTGTTCTCTCCTCTCTTCTTCCTCTCATTCTTCTTTCTAGATTCCTCCTATTTTTTCTCCCTGCATGCCAGCCCCTGTCTAGTCTTCTCCTGCCTAGCTATTGGCTGTTCAACTTTTTATTAGGTGTCTTAGGTAGGCAAGGTGAAACAAGTGCAGCACATCTTTACATAATTAAACACACATCCTTATATCGTTAAGCAAATTCAAGACACCTTTACATAGTTAAAGTAATATTCCACAGCATAAACAAATATAACACATTTTTGCCTAGTTAAAACAATATTTCACAACAGTCCCCATCCAGTGTTCCTGCTCAGCCCTGGACCTTTTCATCCAGTGGGACATTCAACACAGAGATTCTGTGGACCTCTCAAACCCACCAAGTTCGCACAAATTTATATGTCCATTGTAAGCCTCTTCTTTTCTCTTTTAACAACCTGGTTTTTGTTTGTTTGTTTGTTTTTGTTTTCAAGACAAGGTTTTTCTGTGTCCTGGCACTCGCTCTGTAGAACAGGCTGGCCTCCAACTCACAGAGATCCACCTGCCTCTGCCTCCCAGTGCTGGGACAAAAGGTGTGTGCCACCACCACCTGGCTTGGTAGCTTGCCTTGAGAATCCTCTCATAAGTTCCCACAGGGAGCTCCCGCCTACTTACCTATTCCCTGGTTTTATTCTTAGTATGAGCACTGATCGAGAAGGGCTTAGGAAAAGGGCATATACTCAAGATGTGGGTGCAACTTCCCAAGAGACTCCCAGAGCTTCCTTGTTCTCATTTCCTGACATTTAGTTCACTACATGCAGCCATGCTATGGGCTACTAAAAGAGCCCTCTGTCAAAAGACATGTAAGTTCTGCTGCTACAAATGAGCTAAAGTTGGGGCTGGAGAGATGATTTGGCAGTGAACAGCCTTGCATGTGGACTTGTTTGGTTCCCAGAACCTGTCTCAGGCATTTCATGACCATCTGCAATTCCAACTCCAGGGCATCTAAGGCCCTCTTTTGGCTTCTGCAGGTACCTGCACTCATGTTCTCGAGTATCATGCCCCTCCATCTACACAATTAAAACAATAAAATAAATCTTTAAAAACAAAGAGCTATAGCAAGAAAGCCCTGGGGTGGGGCTGTGGACCTGGAGGAAAGGAATGGATGGCTGTGAGGGTCCTAGCATGATTGAAGAGGAGGCCGGGTGACAGGATGATATGCTAATATGGAATTGCTAGGATAACTCTGCAACAGGTTTGATGGCCCGAACAGAAGCAGAAAGCCACATGAGGACGGCTCCCTCATTCGGGCCCAGAGTGCAGGAGGCCCAATCAGTCCAGAGCCATAGACCAGAACCGAACTTAAATGTTCTTACTTTTTAGTTTCTATGCCCTGACATTAGAGCCCTTTGCTTGGGTGGCAAGGGGATCTGGGTCTCAGAACATTTGTTCTCCTCCTGGCTTATAAGAGAATTTAACCCTCATGACAATCCCAAGAAGGATTCATCCTCACACTAGATAAATACATGGTAAAGGCAGCCCACACCCCAAGACCAGCACAGGCTCCTGTTGGGGAGAAGCAGGGGTCTTCAGGGGTCTTACTAAGAACAGGGGAGACAGAGGGACCTGAAAGAAGCCTCACTGGGGATCACCTGAGACTTCCACAAGACCTCAGGGCTTCTCCGGGCACCTGGCTGACCTCTGAGGGACAGGGCTTTGGGGGAGTGGACTGTCTCCAAAGCCCTGTCCCGCACGCACCTCTAACCAGGATCTTCTGTTTCCTGGCAGGTTTTGCCCATCATTGTTTTCTTCAGCTGTGTCATGTCAGTTCTCTACTACTTGGGCCTCATGCAGTGGGTGATCCTGAAGGTGAGTCCTCAGGCCTGTGCTTGGTTCTTCTGGGTCACCAGCTCTCAGGTTCACACCCTTCCAGAAGCCCTCAGCTTTTGGAAGGTGTCCCTGCCCTCAGCACCCATGCCTTCCCAGAATCCTCTGCTCCCACACTTCACATTCTCTCCAAACCTAATCAAACATCCCTTCAGAAGGTCTCTTGTCCTAATACGGGGGCGGGAGGGGGGATGGCATCAAAATTCAATTTAGTCTCTATGGGAGGGAGAGTTGGGATCTATGGGGCAACAAAGGCTTTAGGAGAAAACTTATTTATATCAAAATGATCCTGAGAGGTTATAACATCAGGCCACATTGGCCAGACCAAGCTGGTATAAACATGCTTACTTAAAAAAGACTATTGCATTTATCTATTTGTTTATTGTGTGTGTGTGCATACATGTGTGTGTATGCATACATACCAGGACGCACATGTGGAGTTCAGAAGACACATTGCAGGAGTTGGTTTTTCTCCTTCTGCCATGTGGGACCTGGGGCTCAAACCCAGGTTGTCAGGCTTGGCAGCAAGCACCTTTACCTGCTGAGCCATCTTCACAGCCCAACCGTGCCTAGGTTTATGAGATCTTCTGCATAACATCAGGTGCTGGAAATAGCATTGAGCAGCGCTTGACAGCATCAGACCTGGCAAAAGGTTCTGAGGATTTAGTTGACAGAACTCAGAATAAATCAGCACCTTTGGATGGCAGCAAGAATAACAAGTGACCCATGGCTATGTCAAGAAGAATCCAGTGGAGGGGATTATCCCTGGATCTGGAGAATGTGTTCAACTTCGGGCTCGGACAAATGGTGCAAGCTGCAAAGTGCAAGGGCTTGAATCCAGCAGGGCCGGAGGGACAGAGAATGATGGGCCTGGACAAGAGGGAGAGCGGAGGGAAGGCTGTTTCCAAGTGCGTATGAAGAGAGGCTGAACAAGGACAGGCTGAGGGCAGCAGTAGTGCAGAAACATTCCAGGGAAGAACTTCCTAGGACAGTGTGTCCCGAACCCTTTCCCACTGAACTCTAGACCCTGGCATGCTACCAAATGTTACTTGGAAAAGGAAGTCTCTGGTGAAATAGCCGAGGAAAACTAGGCTAGACATTATGGCAAATAAACTTAAATGTTATTTTGGAGACAGGGTCTTACTGTCTGTCCTGGAGCTCACTCTGTAGACCAGGCTGGCCTTGAACTCACAGAGATCTGCCTGCCTCTGCCTCTTGAGTGCTGGGATTAAAAATATATGCCACAAAGCCCAGCTAACACTTTTTAAAATTACTTATTTGGGGGCTGGAGAGCTGGCTCGGCAGCTAAGAGTATGTACTATTCCTGCACAGGACCTAGCTGGGTTCCCAGCATTCACCTTGGCAGATCACAATTCCCTATAACTCCAGCTCTGGGGAATCTGATGCCTTTTTCTACAAGCCTCAGGAACCTGCACATACATACACATCAAACAAACAAACATATACATATATATCAAATATATATATATAAATTTAGTATGTATGTATGTATGTATGTATGTAAGTATGTATGTATGTATGCCACAGACCTATGTAGCAGTCAGAGGATTTGTAAGAGTTGGTTCTCTCTTTCCACTCTGTGGGTCCTGCAGATGAAACTAGGTCATCAGGCTTGGTGGCAAATGCCTTTACCTGATGAGCCAGTTGACTGACCCTCCACTTTATTTTCTGAGATAGTCTCTCACTGATCCTGGAGCTCACTTATTTGGCTAGACTGGCTGACCAGCAAGTCTCAGGGATCCCCTTGTCTCCATCTTGCCAGCACTGGGATTACAGTGCATGCTTTTTACACAGGTGCTGGGAGTCCATACCTGACAGACTGAGCTATCATCTCCCCAGCTCCCCGATCGCCTCTTAATACTGCCCCGGTGCTAATTAAATTTCAGTATGAGTTTGGGAAAGGCATTTAAACCACAGCAGGGCCCTGGGCTGGAAGAAAGACTTCTAAGATACCTTCACCTCCCAACTCTTTCTGAGTCTGGACTTGTTAATGTCCACTCATGAGCATTCTGTTATGTTTTTTTGTTTTTGTTTTTCCAGATTGCCTGGCTGATGCAGGTCACCATGGGCACCTCAGCCACTGAGACCCTAAGTGTGGCAGGAAACATCTTTGTGAGTCAGGTAGGTACTGAAGCTACCCCAAACACACTGGGGGGGGGCAAGGATCCAATTTAATTCAAGGGAGAGCCATTTGAACCTGTCCCCAGGGTCATTGAAGGCTGTTGCCCAGGGATGTTCAGTTTGGTGGCTGAATGCCCTGCCTCTGTCATGCCAAACCCAGACATGGCCTATTTGGCACCTCTGCCACTCCAGCCTAGGCTGTTGTTATCAGCTTAGAGACTCACAAGCATTAGATGGGGAAACTGAGGCCAGGAAGGTATGAATGGTTTGACCAAGATCCCCCAGGGATAAGTGAAAATAACATTTAGGTTTTGTTTATTTGTTTCCTGAGCAGACTTCTTTCCACTGTATCATTTGTCTAAGCTTTCCTCTGTCTGAAATGTATTTTTCAAGATAACTATGGCTTTGAAGGCACTGGGACTCCTGCGCCTCTTCAGGCTTGACCTTCTTGAGAAGGAAACTGTGTACATCAGAGAATCCCTATGAGATACCCTTGTCAAGCGATTTCTTATTTCATTGGGTAGTTTAGGAATTTTTAGAAAATACCCACCTATTTTTTTTCTATGATGCAAGCATGCTAATTTCAAAGGGTTTGGTATTGTAGACAGGTATGGTTGCAGATAAGTTGTTCCCAAAATGATTGACCTCTGTCTCTCTAGCTCTTTCTGTCTGTCTCTGTCTATCTGTCTCTTTCTCTCTCTTAGCTTTTGTTTGTTTTGTTGTTTTGCTTTTTTGAGACAGGGTTTCCCTGTGTAGCTCTGTAGCTCTGTAGACCAGGCTGGTCTTAAACTCAGAGAGACCCACCTGCCCCTGCCTTCTAAGTGCTGGGATTAAAGGCCTTCAGCTGCTGATCCTCTTGTCTCTACCTCTTGAGTATTTGAATCACAGGTATGAACCACCACCCACATCTCTTTAAGATGTTCAAACTGAGGTTCAAGAAGAGGAGGGCCCCAAACTACACAAACCTGACTGTTGTGAAAGCTTAAAGCCATAGCCTGTTTCACTGAAAAAACATCCATAGCAGTGGGTGTAACATTGGCTGCCATAAGAAGCCCTGAACCATATTAGAGTGTCTAAGTTGGGGATCCAATTGCCCTAGTTCCCCGGCTCTTTGCCTCATTTCCATCAAAGGGAGGGATGGAGAAGGAGCCTTCAAGGTTTGTCGACATCATTACTATCTATAACCATGGCAGGCCTGGGCCACCTATGCAGTCCACACTCCCTCTCCAAGGTTTTACAGTAGTTTTACAGTTTTACATTTACAGCATTACAGGCTGTAAATGCTTTATATGTGTCCTGATCTGGAGCCCTGAGCCCATCCTTCCTCCCTCAACTCTAGACTGACAAGTTTCTTACCCCTCTGAGTCAATAATAACTCAGAGATGTCTCAAATTCACCAAACAGGACCTGGATTCCCTCCCTTGGCACAGCTGCATTTTCTTAAGACTTCCAGAAAGCAGTAACATCTCTCATGAGTTGTTCAGACAACTCATAAAGTCATCTTGCCTTCCTCTGCTTTTTCCTCACCCTGCTCTACCCATGCATCCCATGGGGTACTAAGTCCCTGAGCTCTGCCTCTGCATCCATCCATCCCTTATCCTGCCTGTCTTCCTTGCTGTGAGCCATACTGCCAGTCTCCTGGACCACTGCAATCACTACCTGTTCTCCATGCCTCCATCCTTGCTCCTGCCATCCATCCTTAGACAAACAGTTGAATGACCTGTCAAAAACATGTACAAGGAGCTTGGGGGGTGTGTGACTCAGTGGTAGAATGCTTACCTAACATGGGCAAAACCCTAGCGGTTCCATCCAAGTAACACACACACACACACACACACACACACACACACACACACACCTCATGCCATGCTCCACCCAAACAGGTGATCTCCTTCCCCCAGTGCCATCTGCCCTCTTCTGCCTCCATACCAAACTAGTCCTCACACACAGCACTCTGTGGCAGATGTGTCTTCCTCCTCAGAACTTCTCAAACTTGGCCAAACTTATTCCTGTCCCAAGGCCTTTGTTATGTCTGGACTGCTGATCCACCAATCTGTAGTTGGCTCCTTCCCATCTCAGCTAACATTAACCCAATGCTATAGCCTCAAAAAGGCACTTGCTGATACTCCCTAACCATGAAGCCGTCTTTCTCACATATCTTCGTAGAGTCTATCACCCTCTAAAACCACAGCATGTATCTACCTGGCTTCTTATTGTTATCTATATCTCCTCCCCTTGACCTCCCTCCCTCTCCCATTCTCAGGGAGGAATCCTTGCCCCTTCTGTGTATTGTTTAGATTTCTTGTCCCTTGTTGGGTCATGACATACCCAACACGAGCACTTTAAGGAAGGAAGAAGATACCTATTTGGACTCACAGTTTAGAGGTACAGTCTATCCTGGCAGTGGGAGTGTAAGGCAACCAGTCCTAGCGTGTCCACAGTCAGAAGCAGAGTGAGGTGAATGCTGGTTTCCAGCCTGCTTTCTACTTTGTATTCATCCTGGGCCCCAGCTGGTGGGATGATGCCATCCATATTCAGCCTAGGGTCATTCCTTCTCAGACCTCTCTGAAACAGAGGTGTGTTTCCTTGGAGATTCTAAACCCAGTCACCTTGACAATGAAGATTAGCCATCATCCTCCCATCTCCTATTCTGCCAGAGCAGTACCAAGATGTCAGTGGAGCTGAAGCTTTGGGAAAAAATAAAAAGTGGGCTAGACTTCTCCATAGGTCCCAAAGCAAATGCCCATTGCATACCCAGCTCCTTTCTTGGTGGTAACCCCCTTGGCTTCATCAGAAGTTCAAGCTTGCTTCCCCTCCCAAGCTTCTGTCTGCTCCCCTGGAAAATGAGGAACTTTTCTGTCTCAGGTTGTAAGCAGTGAGGAGGTGCCTGGGTGTGAGGCACAAGGTATGTGTCAACACAGAGAGCATTGTGAAACACAGTGTCATATGGAGGTCCTTCCATGGAGTGGGAGGGCAATGAGGTCCAGAGAGACTCAGCTGAATAGGAACCCACCCTTCTGTTTCCTCCTCTGAGATCCTTTGTCACTCACCATGGCCACCACTTCCAGGGCAAGGGCAGTGAGAACAGAGCCCAGCCACCACAACTCATTGTCTGCCATCTGTCTTGTTTGTAGACCGAAGCTCCTCTGCTTATTCGGCCCTACCTGGCAGACATGACTCTCTCTGAAGTTCACGTTGTCATGACTGGAGGCTATGCTACTATTGCTGGTAGCCTCCTGGGTGCCTACATCTCCTTTGGGGTAGGTAGAACCTTCAGCTGCTTGGCTATGCCAAAGTCCTGAAATTGCCATTCTGGAAGCCCCACACAGTCACAGCAGTCACGGGGTGTCCCCTTTCTGAATCAAAGTCCATCTTTGCCTGAGCAAGGCAGGCCTGCTGGGCTGAATCACTTGCTCAGGCTTCTTACGTGCCTGCTGGGGCAGATTCCCAGAATTCCCTTTACTAAGCTCTGATTATGTATCAGGTATTATGCTGGGCACTCTAATATCCCCATTTTATAGATCAGCAAATTGAGGCTCAGAGAATGAATTAATGGTTAAAGTCAGGATCTGAACTCAGATCTATCTGACTCCAAAATGTGTGTTCACTTTTCCATAGTCTCACATCTAGGCTATCCCAGGAGATCTGTCCTATCACCACCACCACCCACACACACAAAAATTTTTTGTGTGTTTTCAAGTCAGAATTTCTCTGTGTAGCCTTGGCTGTCCTGGAACTCTCTCTGTAGACCAGGCTGTCTTCTAACTCACAGAGATCTGCCTGCCTCTGCTTCCCAAGTGTTGAGATTAAAAGTGTGTGCCACCACCCCTGTACATCCCCCCTAATTTTTTTTAAGAGCTGTAATCTTAGCACTTGGGAGGTACAGGCAGGAGGATCAGAAGTTCCAGATCATTAACTACATATGGAGCTGGACTGCCTCAAAAATAAAACAAATCAAAACCAAAACAGACAAAAATTGAAACCCCAAACTTTGTTTGTGGAACTATTTCTCATAGTGGCATATTGGACCTACCATTTTCACATATGAAGGTCTTTAAATGTCTTAACTTTGCTCTGGGCCTCGTGATCAGTATTAAAAATAATCCCTATGTTCTTTCTAGCCACATGAGCTTTGCAGAGACCTTCAGTTATTAATTAGGACTTAAAATATAAGAGATCTATCTCACAAGTAGCATTTGCCGACCATTTGTAAAGCCCTGAGTTCAGTATATCACACTAAAATAAAAATAAATAAATAAAAGATACATCTGTCGCTAACACCTATAATTGTAGCCCTCCAGAAGCTGAAGCAGGAGGATTAAAAGTTCAAAGCCAGCCATGGCCACATAGTGAAACCTTACTTCAAAAAACAAAATAAAATAAAGCCTCGCTAACACCTATAATTGTAGCCCTCCAGAAGCTGAAGCAGGAGGATTAGAAGTTCAAAGCCAGCCATGGCCACATAGTGAAACCCTACTTCAAAAAACAAAATAAAATAAAGCCGGATAGTGGTGGCACATGCCTTTAATCCCAGCGCTTGGGAGGCAGAGGCAGGCAGTTCTCTGTGAGTTCGAGGCCAGCCTGGTCTACAGAGTGAATTCTAGGACAGCCTCCAAAGCTACAGAGAAACCCTGTCTCAAAAACAAACAAACAAACAAAACAAAACAAACAAACAAAAAACCCAACCAACCAACCAAAGAAACAAATAAATTAAACAAACAAACAAATCTTAAGAACTGTTGCCTGTATTGTGTATACAGTGGGCTAATACCCAGTAAACACATCTATAAATGCATCGTAAGATGAAAATGCATGGAATATGTCTAACCTACTCCATTGTAGACAGTACACTGTCAGTACCAAGCCTTCCCCTGGCCTGATTGGGGGCACAGAACTAGATCTGGGGCTTGGCTGGCTGCTGCCACCAGCATTGCAAGAAAGCATCCCACTGCATTTGGATAACCTAGAAAAGATCATTTCAAAATGTCAAGTGCAGTTTCTACAAAATGCTTATCACTTTTAAGACCACCTCGATGTAAAAAGTATTTGTTTGAGCCATTAAGTCAAAGACCATCCATACCGGAAGACCTTTGTCCCTTTTACACCATCTGGCTTAAAACTCAGTTCCTTCCTTCTCTTTTTCAGTCATGGGTCCAGGCCTAGCCTTGGGGACATTTTTCCTCCCAGCTGACAGCCTGGCTACTCCTCCTCTGTAGCCCTACAGATGTATAGAGGCTGCCACAGGGTTCCCGGTGGGGAGGGGGGAGCCCCACCTGCAACCATAGCAGGGGCTGGGAAAGGGCGTAACTGACCTTCCCGCTTCCCTTCCTCTCCTCTTCCCTTCTTCCCTGCTCTGTTCCTCCCATCCCCAGCTGAAGCTCTCTTCTGCCCCCACCTGCCCTTGGCCGTCATTGCCTGGCCTCCTGCCCTGTCCCAGGGAGACTCCCAGAGTCTGTCTTTGTTTTGTTTTTGTACAGCTGGGTGACAAACTCAGGACCCTGTATATGCTAGGCAAGTGGTTGAGCTACACTGCCAGTTTACAGATTCATTTAAAAAAACTTTTCCATTGTTGTTTGTGTATGAGCACAGCGACATACATGTCAAAGGCATGCATGTGTGGATAGGAGGACAACCTACTCCTTGGGCTCTGGGGATTGAACTAAGGCTCGTTAGGACAAGTGCTCTTACCTGCTGAGCCATCTCCCCTCAGTTCACAGATTGCTCTTTGTGCCCCAGCTTCTGACTCTTCGCCCACATCCTGCCTATCGTAGGTATCTGGGTAGTTCCAGGACCTGTCCAACAGTAGCTAAGAGCTACTGAGCACTTGAAACATGGCCGGTTTGAAAAGAGGTGCGAGGGAGGCTTTGCACAGAAAAAAATTAAGATATTTTATTAAATAAGTTTAAGTATTATGTGGGTGGAAAGAAAAACTTTGGAGATGTATTGGGTTAATTAAAATGCATTAAAAATGAACTAAGAACTCTCTCTCCTCCACTTTCATTCTTCACTAAGTTACTTAGACTGGCCTTAACTGGTGACCTCCTGCCTCAGCCTCCCCAAATAGTGTTACCAACTTGCTCTCTACAGGTCTGGCTTTCTTTGCACTTTTAAAAATGTGGCTACTCGACACAGGAAATGTGTTGGTGTTTTTCTGTGTGGTGTCACGTATCTTATAGGCTCAGCACCTGGGATGTAGAGGAGAAAGATCCCAAGTTTGAGGTCACTATCAACTGCATAGCAACTTTGAGACTAGCCTGGGCTATACGAGACCCTGTGTAAAAGAATGTGGCCGGTGTAAAATTGTGTGTGTGGTCTCCATCATGTTTGTATTGGACAATCCAGCCTATGTCTTCTCTTTTGTCACACAGCCTCAAGTGCCACTTGACTGAATCATTTTGTTGTGACTACCACATGTGTTTCCAACTATGCTGTTGCTCCAAAGGCTCTAAAATAGACACCAACTTTTATTACAAATCCAAATGAACTGGTCTCTTGTTGCAGGGGTCTTTGAACCCAAGCTGGTCAGGATAACATTCAGGAATTGGCCACTTGTGTTTCTTAGTGAATTGTACCCAAGTGGAACAGGGTCTTCAAGATTCTGAGTGGACAAAGTGACTCTGTTGTCTAGTTTCCACATGTGTAAAATGGGCAGATATACTGGCTGCCTGACTTCAATAGATGGACTGAAGACGGACAGAAAACACATAGCATGATGCTGAAAAAGTGGGCATGGTAAGACTGGAAATCTGTCCTGTGACTGGCTCCTTTATTTCCTTACTCCCTAAATACCTTTCTGAAAGGTGGTGTTCTCATGTCCTCTCTTTCCATGTGGAACACCTGGGTAGAAGGGAGTCTGGGTAGCTGATGGAGGGCATTCTTGATTGAGCTCCTGGAGACAGGGATGGGAAAAGTGCAAAGGTGCCACAGTAGGCTGGTGTGGGATGGAGCAGTGGCAGCTTCCCTGCCTGCATGCAGGTCTCCACCTCTCCATGAAGAGCAGGAATGGCCAGTGTGACTGCAATGGCTCTGGCAGATGTTTCCCACTAAGGTTGAAGCTTACAAATAGGGTGTACTCTTCAAGCTGAAGAAGAGGTTTAGGATACAGGTTGGCAGATGGAGAAGCCCCTGACTGCAGGTGTGGCACTGTCCACATTGGAGCTGGGCAGTCAGGGAGGATTCAAGTTGTTGGGCCCCGGCCCCCCATGGGGTCTCTGTGAATTGACAGGTGCATCCTGTTCTCTAGTCCTGGCTTACAGCCCGGCCTTGCCCCACTGGTAAGAGGAAAACACGAGCTCTTACACCTGGGGTCTCTCCACTGTGCTGTGAGTCTGTATATAAGGCTGCTCCCTCCTGCAAAAAAGACAGACGGGCAACACACATTGTCTTAGCACAAACGACTGGAATGCCCCACTGGTAAGAGGAAAACACGAGCTCTTACACCTGGGGTCTCTCCTCTGTGCTGTGAGTCTGCATATAAGGCTGCTCCCTCCTGCAAAAAAGACAGACGGGCAACACACATTCTCTTAGCACAAACGACTGGACCCATTTGCTCATTGTTAGTTAGATAAGTTGAGCTGGTTCTGACTTCCCCGTTTGGTGAATAATGCAGCAGAGGGGAAGGTGGTCTCGTTTGTCTCTTGGAGCAGGGAGGGTATGTGTCTTGGAAGCACCAGCCTCCCTGAGTTGGTGTTATTTTGTCACCCTGCTGGAGTGCCTGTCATCATCATTCCTGGAGACAGAGAGAGCCAGAGCCTCCAGAGCAATCAGAGGAGGCTGACTCCCCGAAAAAGAGTTTTTAGAGTATAGGAGTGAGTGAGGTGGCCCACTTTGAGGTGATGAGTGTCCTGTCACCGTAAGAACTCAAAGATTGAAGATAGGGGTTGCACTCCTGTACCAGGACATAAGGTATGTGGAGGGATGTGCTGCCTCCTGCATCCATCCCACCTCTCAGTTCTGGAGCATTGTCTGAATCTGTTACAAACTCCTCAGCCAGTGGGAATTAGTGGTCAAAGAGAGACACCCTGGATGAGGAGGAAGAACCGTGAAATTGGGGCCAAAGGCCATTTTGGATTTCAATTCCTCCCTTCCTTTATGTTGAGCAAATCATAGTTATTCCCCTGGAGCCTCAGTTTCCTTGCATATAAATGGGGCAATGATACTTGTACTGCCTACCATGCAGAAGTATTTTCTTTAGGGAAGCAGTGGTCACTCTTTTGTTATTTTTTTTTACATGTATCTTATTTGTGTGTGTAGATGTGTATGTGGGTGGAAGGCAGAGGACAACTTGCAGCAGTCAGTTCTCTCCTTCTACCATGTCATTTCCAGGGATTGGACTCAGGACTTAGGTTTTTAGACTAAACAGCAAGCACCTTTACCTGCTCAGCCATCTCATGGGCCCTTGCAGAAGAAGTACTGGGAGTGTCTTGGAACATAAAAGAGAGTATTAGTGACTATGCCAGAAGTAATACAGCAAAGTCACACTAATGGGATGAAGACATGTCCCTCTGCCTCCACATTTCTTCTACCTGTCCCCTATAACCTCCCTGTCATTACTTATTTATATTTTTGAGACAGGGTCTCTGGCTGACCTTGAACTCACTACATAGCTGGGGATGATCTTGGCTTTCTGATCCTCCTGTTCCTACTTCCAGAGTGCTGGCTTATATGCATGCACCTCCATGCCTGACTCTGTGGTTCTGGAGAGCAAGGGCTTCATGCAAGCACTCTGTTATTACCGCCCCCCTCCATTGTCCTTGCAGATTGATGCTGCCTCCTTAATTGCTGCCTCCGTAATGGCAGCCCCCTGCGAGAAACCCTGTCTCGAAAAACCAAAAATAAATAAATAAATAAAATAAAAATGGTGTACACCTTTGGAAGATATCAAACAGCAGCAAGGGAGAAATTACTTCAAACCCAGCTCACCAGGGAAAGCCAGTGTGCTCACAACTCGGGGGACCTGTTTCTGGAGATTCTAGGAGGTTTGGTGTTTGTTTCCCCCTCATCACAGTCCCACTCTTCATGCAATGTCGGTGGGTACTTTCCCCTGTTACTGCATGATGCCTGGACAAGCATCATTTTCCAGAGACCATTCTTAAAGATGGAGCAATGACTCTGTGGGTAAGAGCACTGGCTGCCTGTACAGAGAACCCATGTTCCAGTCCCCACATGACAGCTCACAATCTGTAAGGCCCTCTGCTGGCCTCCACAGGCACCAGGCACACAAGATGCACCACAATGCACCACCAGGTAGCAAAACACTCATTCACACAGAATAAACAATTTTTTTTAAAGGCCATTTGCTCATTGTTAGTTAGATAAGTTGAGCTGGTTCTGACTTCCCCGTTTGGTGAATAATGCAGCAGAGGGGAAGGTGGTCTCGTTTGTCTCTTGGAGCAGGGAGGGTATGTGTCTTGGAAGCACCAGCCTCCCTGAGTTGGTGTTATTTTGTCACCCTGCTGGAGTGCCTGTCCACTGTGATTCCTGGAGACAGAGAGAGCCAGAGCCTCCAGAGCAATCAGAGGAGGCTGACTCCCCGAAAAAGAGTTTTTAGAGTATAGGAGTGAGTGAGGTGGCCCACTTTGAGGTGATGAGTGTCCTGTCACCGTAAGAACTCAAAGATTGAAGATAGGGGTTGCACTCCTGTACCAGGACATAAGGTATGTGGAGGGATGTGCTGCCTCCTGCATCCATCCCACCTCTCAGTTCTGGAGCATTGTCTGAATCTGTTACAAACTCCTCAGCCAGTGGGAATTAGTGGTCAAAGAGAGACACCCTGGATGAGGAGGAAGAACCGTGAAATTGGGGCCAAAGGCCATTTTGGATTTCAATTCCTCCCTTCCTTTATGTTGAGCAAATCATAGTTATTCCCCTGGAGCCTCAGTTTCCTTGCATATAAATGGGGCAATGATATTTGTGCTGCCTACCATGCAGAAGTATTTTCTTTAGGGAAACAGTGATCACTCTTTTGTTATTTTTTTACATGTACCTTATTTGTGTGTGTAGATGTGTATGTGGGTGGAAGGCAGAGGACAACTTGCAGCAGTCAGTTCTCTCCTTCTACCATGTCATTTCCAGGGATTGGACTCAGGACTTAGGTTTTTAGACTAAACAGCAAGCACCTTTACCTGCTCAGCCATCTCATGGGCCCTTGCAGAAGAAGTACTGGGAGTGTCTTGGAACATAAAAGAGAGTATTAGTGACTATGCCAGAAGTAATACAGCAAAGTCACACTAATGGGATGAAGACATGTCCCTCTGCCTCCACATTTCTTCTACCTGTCCCCTATAACCTCCCTGTCATTACTTATTTATATTTTTGAGACAGGGTCTCTGGCTGACCTTGAACTCACTACATAGCTGGGGATGATCTTGGCTTTCTGATCCTCCTGTTCCTACTTCCAGAGTGCTGGCTTATATGCATGCACCTCCATGCCTGACTCTGTGGTTCTGGAGAGCAAGGGCTTCATGCAAAGCACTCTGCTATTACCGCCCCCCTCCATTGTCCTTGCAGATTGATGCTGCCTCCTTAATTGCTGCCTCCGTAATGGCAGCCCCCTGCGCTTTGGCCCTTTCCAAGCTGGTCTACCCGGAGGTGGAGGAGTCCAAGTTCCGGAGTGAGGAAGGAGTGAAGCTGACTTATGGGTGAGCATGGCAGGGGGAGGCTTTGGCAGAGTGTACTGGTGCCAGGTGTGAAAACAGAGGTGGAGAGGGACAGTGTCGTCCTTGAGTCATTTCTGTCCTCCATGGATCTTTCTCTCCCTTCACTACCTTGATGTGGCCTCACACACAAAAACACACTTTTTTTTAAAAAGAACTAATTTATTTATTTAATATGTATGAGTATTTGCCTGTGTATATGTGTCTGTACCAAGAGCTTGAGGAGACCAGAAGAGGGTATGGAATCCCCTGGAACTAGAGTCATAGAGCCCCCAAGTGGGAATCGAACTTGTGTCGTCTGGATGTGCAGCCAGTTACTCTTTTTTTTTTTTTTAAAAGATTTTATTTATTTATTATGTATATAACATTCTGCTTCCATGTATTTCTGCACACCAGAGAGGGCACCAGATCTCATAACAGATGGTTGTGAGCCACCATGTGGGTGCTGGGAATTGAACTCAGGACCTCTGGAAGGGCAGTCAGCACTCTTAACCTCTGAGCCATCTCTCCAGCCCCACCAGTTACTCTTAACCTGTGAGCCATCTCTCCAGCCTGAACACAGACTTGCTGAAGTGGTTGTTGTAGGAAAATGGAGTGTTCAAGGTTACATAGCATAGGTCTAGGCCAACTTGGGTTATTTTGTCACCCTGCTGGAGTGCCTGTCCACTGTGATTCCTGGAGACGGAGAGAGCCAGAGCCTCCAGAGCAATCAGAGGAGGCTCACTCCCTGAAAAAGAGTTTTTGGAGTATAGGAGTGAGTGAGGTGGCCCACTTTGAGGTGATGAGTGTCCTGTCACCGTAAGAACTCAAAGATTGAAGATAGGGGTTGCACTCCTGTACCAGGACATAAGGTATGTGGAGGGATGTGCTGCCTCCTGCATCCATCCCACCTCTCAGTTCTGGAGCATTGTCTGAATCTGTTACAAATTCCTCAGCCAGTGGGAATTAGTGGTCAAAGAGAGACACCCTGGATGAGGAGGAAGAACCGTGAAATTGGGGCCAAAGGCCATTTTGGATTTCAATTCCTCCCTTCCTTTATGTTGAGCAAATCATAGTTATTCCCCTGGAGCCTCAGTTTCCTTGCATATAAATGGGGCAATGATACTTGTACTGCCTACCATGCAGAAGTATTTTCTTTAGGGAAGCAGTGGTCACTCTTTTGTTATTTTTTTTTACATGTATCTTATTTGTGTGTGTAGATGTGTATGTGGGTGGAAGGCAGAGGACAACTTGCAGCAGTCAGTTCTCTCCTTCTACCATGTCATTTCCAGGGATTGGACTCAGGACTTAGGTTTTTAGACTAAACAGCAAGCACCTTTACCTGCTCAGCCATCTCATCATTACTTAACCTCACTTATGGAGTAACTATACAAGTTCAAACCATGCCTCAAATTGGAAATGGGATACTTTTGGAAGAGGAGATAATAATAATAATAATAATAATAATAATAATAATAATAATAATAAGTTTTTAGTTTAAAACCTGCTCACATTAAACTACAAGTTTTGAATAAATTGATTGAATGAGGAAAAAAGAGATTATGTCACAAAGCCCCAAATGGATATATAGCTAAGAAGTTATATAGATTTGCCCTGGATATAGGAACACTAAAGTTATGGAAACATTGTGACCGATAGATTCAACATTTATTGGGATGAAAATCAGGTTAGATGGATGAGTCTTTCTGTGGCAAATATTTCTGATAGGGGATCATTGGCAGGGAAGAAAAGGGCATGGGGGCTCCATGTTGGTTGCTTTAGTTTGAGCCAGGCACTAAAACTAGAGTGGCTGATGCAGCTGGAATAGTCCTGAGGTAAAACACTAAGTATAGCAACCTGAGTGATAAAGGCTTTCCACACTTAGTCACCAACTCTCAGTGAGCCTCCTCTACAGGGCTCTTGGTGGAGCCAGCAGGTAGAAATTGTAGGGCCGAGGCTTCCCACTTGTGCTCCATCAGTGAGGAAATAGGGTACAATAAACCCAGATTGAGGGAAAGAACTTAAAAAAAAGATTTTATTTATTTATTATGTATACAACATTCTGTTTCCATGTATATCTGCACACCAGAGAGGGCACCAGATCTCATAACAGATGGTTGTGAGCCACCATGTGGTTGCTGGGAATTGAACCCAGGACCTCTGGAAGAGCAGTCAGCACTCTTAACCTCTGAGCCATCTCTCCAGCCCCACCAGTTACTCTTAACCTGTGAGCCATCTCTCCAGCCTGAACACAGACTTGCTGAAGTGGTTGTTGTAGGAAAATGGAGTGTTCAAGGTTACATAGCATAGGTCTAGGCCAACTTGGGCTGCATAGTGAGACTTGTATCAACAGAACAAAACAAAGAAAAAAAAACAAACCAAGTACTGATTTCACCCTTCAAATCATAATCTATTTCTGACCAGTAAGAAAAAAGGGGTCTGGTCGAGGTTCAGGGTGTGAAGCTCAGCTCTTGGTGTGGCCTGGCCTTGCTCCCTGCCACTTTCTCTGCATGACTGATCTCTCTGACCACCAGGTGGCAGCCTCACATTGACAAGTGGAGTGCCAGGCTCCAAACATGGCTTTGTCACCATCTTAATCATCACCATTAACCAATCCTTCAAAAATGTTGAAAAGAAGCTGGGTGTGGTGTTGTATGTTGATAATCCCAGCACCTGGAAGGTGGAGGCAGGAAGGTTAGGAACTGGAGGCCATCCTTACTACACAGTAAATTCCGGGCCAGCCTAGGTTGCATGAGGCCCTGTCTCAACACTCAGATGCTGAAAAGACACAAGGGCTTTGGGGTTACTCTGCCATGTGGAAATAGACTACAAACCACCTGTATCATTCTCTCTCTCTCTCTCTCTCTCTCTCTCTCTCTCTCTCTCTCCTCATCTCCCTTTTTTCCTTTTTTTTTTTTTTTTGGCGGGGTCTCAAGTATCCTATCTATCTCAAACTGGCTAGATATCTGAAGATGACCTTGAGTTTCTGATTCTCTTGCCTCAACTGCCTGATGCTGGGATTATAGGGGTACTATCACATCCAATTTATGGGGTGTGTGCCTCTTGAGAGCAGGCACCTGGTCCCAACCAACTCTCATGGAAATTAGTTCTCTGCTTCTACCATGTAGGTTCCAAGTATCAGACCCAGGTCATCAGCCTGGGCAGCGACATCTTATTTTTTTAAACTTAGACACAGCTGACTCGGAACTCACTATGTAGACCAGGCTGGCCTCAAACTTACAGAGATCTGCTGGGGTTAAAGGTGTGTGCCCTCATGCCTGGCTTCTGGTTGCTTTTTTAAAATAAAGAGAAATGGATGCTCTTAATAAAATCTTTTGCTCAAACCAATCTATCAAAAACATTTTCATTTCATTGTGTGATCGACAAAAATAGTATGAAGCCAGACATGGTGGTGCAGGTCTTTAATCTTAGCACTTGTGAAGCAGATGGATCTGTATGAGTTCTAGGCCAGCCTGGTCTACATAATGAGTTCCAGGATAATCAGGGCTACATAGAGAGACCCTGTCTCAAAACAAAACAAAACTAAGATATTTTCTTCTCACTCCCTCCCTTCTCCTCTCCCTCCCTCCCTCCCTCTCTCCCTCCCTCCTCTAAGATCCTCAAAATGTGAGTGGTATACTGAATTTACAACCCAACATGGCTGGGACCAGCTTGCTTTCAAGTGGCCAGAGACCCACTGAACTCCTGTTTCTCAGCACAGCCCAGATAACTGGGTCTTTTCTCGTTCTTTGATCAGCCAGGTGTTGTGCCCCCTGACCCCCAAAGTTCTTTTTTCTCCCTGCCTCAGAAAGAAAACACAGCTCCTTGGTTCTGAAGCCCTCCGTCCAAGGTTCCTCTTTGAACCTATAAGGTGGGGACCTTTCCTGCTTCTGGGGACATGCTAGTAATGACACCTATTGATCCCAATGGTAGAGACGCTCAGAACCTCGTGGAAGCAGCCAGCGCTGGGGCTGCCATCTCAGTGAAGATCGTTGCCAACATTGCTGCCAATCTGATTGCCTTTCTGGCTGTCCTGGAGTTCATCAATGCTGCCCTCTCCTGGCTGGGGGACATGGTGGATATCCAGGGACTCAGCTTCCAGGTGTGGCTATCGTGGAAGGGATGGTCTCAAGACAGGGGATGATAGATAGAGACCCAGAAGAGCCCTTGTGGACTCGATTCTCTTGCCCCTTTATCCTTAGCTCATCTGCTCCTACATCCTACGTCCCGTGGCATTCTTGATGGGCGTGGCCTGGGAGGACTGTCCGGTGGTGGCTGAGCTGCTGGGTATCAAGCTGTTTCTGAATGAGTTTGTGGCCTATCAAGAGCTTTCCCAGTACAAGCAGAGACGCCTGGCAGGGGCTGAGGAGTGGCTTGGTGACAAGAAACAGTGGATCTCTGTGAGTGTCCCATCCCTTCCTGGAAGCCCGGGGTTGGCACAGTATTCCCTAGGCCCCTGTTTTTGTGTTTCCCTGGGCCTGCCTGAGACACACTGAGGTGGCGATTAAGCATCCATATCCTGCTATCCTGATAGACCAGACAGAGACACTGTGGGCTCCCAAAGAGATTTGTCTGAGATCAAGTTCCTGCTTGCTTTGGCCTGGGGTGAGCTACTGTGCCTTGCCTCTCTTTTGGAAAACAGGGGTATAGCACCTGCCACCTCTCCCCAAAGGGGCATGTGGAAGTGTTCGGTGAGCTACAAGAATAAATGAGCTAGGAGACCCTCCCCGTGTGTGTGTGTGTGTGTGTGTGTGTGTGTGTGTGTGTGTATGCCATGTTGTACATATGGAAGCCAGAAAACAACTTGCAGGAGTTGATTGAACTCATATTGAACTCAGATTATCCGCCGTAACAGCATGTGTTTTCCATGCTGAGCCATCTCACAGGCTCAAATGTGAGTGTCTTCCCATATTTACCAGTCTTGTGCTGCTGGGTCACTCATCTGAACTCCTTATTTGGCTGTGTGTATGACGATATTGAAATGAGTATCTCAGTGTGTAGATCTTTCCCTGGCTTCTGGGTCATTTCATTTCTTTCTTATTTTTTAAAGGTTTATTTATTTATTTATTTATTATGTATACAGTGTTCTGCCTACATGCATACCTGCAGGTCAGAGAGGGCACCAGATCTCATTATACATGGTTGTGAGCCACCATGTGGTTGCTGGGGATTGAACTCAGGACCTCTGGAAGAGCAGGCAGTCAGTGCTCTTATCCTCTGAGCCATCTCTCTAGCCCCTTCTGGGTTATTTCTTTGGGAGCTTCCTCAGATGTGGGTGAGCAGAACCCCATGCAGAGCCTGCCTGCAGCAACTTTCCTAACTATGTGCGGTGGTTAAGTGCTGCCTTGTCGGTTTCAATCACTGCAGTCACCACCAGAAACAAAGCAGCATTGGAAGTCTGTACTTAAACACAAGTTTGGGGGCTGAGGATGTAGCTCATTTGGCATCCTGTTTGAATAGCATGCACAAGGCTCCAGGTTCAATCCCCAGCACTGACTGCATAGACTGGCATGCTGGCAATCCCAACACCCAGCTACTAGAGGCAGGAGGATCAGGGCCAGCCTTGGCTACATAAAGAGTTCCAGGAACCTTTTCTGACCTTTACAAATGTTTCAATTTTTTGTTTTGAAACAGGGAAGTCTTTAATTCACAATCCTCCTACCTCCATCTAGGAGGATTATAAAGCCCAAGCCATCAGGCCTGGGTTCAGTTAGCATTTCTCACTTTCATTTCGTTTGAGAGAATTTAATTTTTTAATTAAAGGCTCATGCCTTTAATCCTAGCACTCAGGACGCAGAGGCAGGCAGATCTCCGTGAGTTCAAGGCCAGCCTGGTCTACAGAGCGAGTGCCAGGACAGCCTCCAAAGCCACAGAGAAACCCTGTCTCGAAAAAGCCAAACCAAAACAAAACAGTTAATTTTTCAAACATCAATTTTTATACCAACTATTTCCCTTTTCTCTCTTTTTAATTCTTAGAAGATGATCTGGAGAGCATTAAATTCCCAAAACAATGAGATGAAATAGTTAAGACCGTGAGTTGAGTCAGATAGGACTGAATTTTTTGGCACAGCTGACTTTTGTTTGAGTTTTTTTGTTTGGTTTGGTTTGGTTTGGTTTTGGTTTTTGCTGGGATTAAAGGGGTACCCCACCATAGCCCAGGTACAGCTGACTTCAGCTGACTTTTGTTTGAGTTTTTTTGTTTGGTTTGGTTTGGTTTGGTTTGGTTTTGGTTTTTTGAGAGTGTTTCTCTGTGGCTTTGGAGGCTGTCCTGGAACTAGCTCTTATAGACCAGGCTGGTCTCGAACTCAGAGATCTGCCTTCCTCTGCCTTCTGAGTTCTGGGATTAAAGTGGTGCCCCACCATAGCCCAGCTACAGCTGACTTTTGGATATACGAACTTCCAATTACTTAACTCTCTGAGCTTCAGTTTATTTAGTTTACCCCAAAATGAGTATAATAATACTACCTTGTAACTATAATCATTATTGTCATATATATCCTATCATTTTATACTTCAAATTGTTATTTCCCTCAGTGGTCTAAAATTAACTTTATGGCATGAGGCATGGATGGCAACCAGTTATTTTTTTTCCAAAAATGTTTCATTTTGACTCTTGACATTTCTTTCTGGAAAATTAAACAACTGTTCAGAGCACAATGAAAGAAGAATCACTTTGCTTAATTGCCTATTGTATACCTGGTGTTTTCTGCACACTACATGGCCCTGTGACTGCTCTGACAGGCTAGCACTATTATGTCCACATTCCAGATGTAGAAATTGAAATCTACAGAGGCTGTTGACTTACTCCAGCTGATTATGGTGGAGACAAGCTGGGAAGCCAGGCAGGTTGGATTCCCAATGGCTGACTGCCTCTGATTACCTGCTCCAGCCTGGCAGTGCCTAATCGAGGTCTGGGTTTTCAGGTATTTGCAGAGACCAGAAAGAAGCAAGATACTGCAGAGCTTGGAGAAGGTCCCAATGGCTGACTGCCTCTGATTACCTGCTCCAGCCTGGCAGTGCCTAATGGAGGTCTGGGTTTTCAGGTATTTGCAGAGACTAGAAAGAAGCAAGATACTGCAGAGCTTGGAGAAGGGCTGCCTTCAGACTGCCCTTGGCACACTGAACCTGTCAGAACCAGATCCCAAAAGCTGGTCACTGGGCTGAGGCTATAGCTCAGGTGGTAGAATGCTTGCCTAGAATGCATGAAGCTGTGGGTTCAATCCCCAGCACAGCACAAATTGGGCGTGGTAGTGTGTATTACTGTGTGTGACTTCAGAGGTAGAGGCAGGGAGGTCAGGAGTTCAAGATTGTTCTCAGTTACATGAGCTTGAGGACAGTTAGGACACTCCGGATGCAGGCTGAAGGACAGCTGAGCGAGAGGGTTGGGTCTTTGAGGTGTGAACTGGGAGCTGCCTTAAAGAAGCAGAAATATGAGGCTGGCGAATTCACGGAGGGTGCCAAGGCATAAAGGAATTGACTGAATTAAGATGAGGGAGGCTTCATTGCCTCCTTGTAATCTGTATTTCCAGGTCAGAGCAGAAATCCTGACGACATATGCCCTCTGTGGATTCTCTAACTTCAGTTCCATCGGCATCATGCTGGGAGGCCTGAGTGAGTCCCTGGGCTTCGAAGCACCCAGGAGCCGGGAGGACTCACAGGGGAGGGCTGGAGAGGGGTGGTGAAGGCATCAGGCAGTGTAAAGGGAGAGAGGTCATGGGTGAGTGAAGGATGCTTCATCCTGTCCTCTCTATGCTACTTCCTGCTTCCTACTTTCTTCCCCCCAAATGTGAGTTTTCTGGATCATCTCTGCTTCCCACTACGCCCTCACAGCCAGCTAGGGAGAGGAAGGCCCCTCATGAATGTGGCTCAGCACAGACGGGCACAGCAGCCTTCAAGGTGCAGCTGGCCTGGTTTAGAGAGAGTAAAACTGTGTGTTGGAGATGTGAGGTGGTAGCCAGGACATGGCTCGGCCTGTATTTAGTCCTCATTATGCCACACCCCAAACTTATCTTCCTAGATGAGCATAGTGGCATACATCTGTAACCCCAGCACCCAGGAGGCTGAAACAGCAGAACCTTGACTTCAAGCCTAGTCTTGGCTATATGAGACCTTGTCACAAACCAAACCAAACAGATAACAGCACACACACCCTTCAAGGCTTGGGATGACCAAGCCTAGTCTTGGCTATATGAGACCTTGTCACAAACCAAACCAAACAGCAGCACACGCACCCTTCAAGGCTTGGGATGAAGCTCAGTTGCTAGAGCACTTGCTTTCAGAACCACATCAATGGGCACAGTGGCTCATGCCTGAAATCTCAACATTCAGCAGAAAGATCAGGAGTTTAAAGTCATTCTTGGCTACATAGGGAGTTCAAGGCCAGCCTGCTATGTAAAACCCTGTCTCATAAGAAGAGAAAGAGAAATCAACTTCTTTTCTTCCTCCTGCTACAATGGGTGGGGTGAAGGGGACATCACTGAATTTTTCCAGATAGGCCAGAGGACAATGAAGGGCCACATCTGCCCTCCTGTCACTCAGCAGCAGAGGGAAGTTCCAGAACTTCAGGAGATAGGCAGAGGGGTGGGTGGCTTTCTTGGCCCTAAGCGCTCTTGGCCCTCTGCAGCCTCTCTGGTCCCCCATCGGAGGAGTGACTTCTCCCAGATTGTGCTCCGGGCGCTGATCACTGGGGCCTTCGTGTCCCTGGCAAATGCCTGTGTGGCAGGTAAGTGCTGGTCCAAGTCCAACAGGCTCAGAACTCTGCCCCCTGGTTTTCTAGCCCCTCTTAGGCAGGGCTGGCCCCTGGGCCAAGCCTCCAAGTCGCTTCCCTCCACAGGGATCCTCTACATGCCCAGGGGGCTCGAGGTGAACTGTGTGTCTCTTCTGAATCAGACCTTCACCAGCAGCAACTTTGAGGTGTACCAGTGCTGTGGCCAGGTCTTCCAGAAGTGAGTGCCTGGGCTGTGGGTGGGTGGTGGCTAACCTGGACTGCCAGTCACAGAAAGACAAGTACCCTAGTGCTTTCTGTACTAGGGGGCAGGATAGGAGGAATGTTATGGCTGCAGCAGCTCTGATGGA